GGTTGAGGAAACTGTTGGATGGTCTCGGCCTGTATGTACAAGTCAATACTATTCAGTGATTGGTTCTCAAATACAGCATCCAACATCGCCGCCACACCGTCATCATTTTTTATTTCGAATTCTACGTACTGTTGCATGCGATCCCCCAAAAATGATAGGAACCGACATATTAGTTGTAGACGTGATGTTGAACTGTCCAGCTGCATTTTCAAGTACATAGTTGACAACAATTCCACATATGTTATTCCGTGTTTTAACTTTATACAATGTTGAGACTTTCCATTATACGATATAAAACCTTTATTGTATACAATATTACCTTTCCAATAGCACATTACTGTGGCGCGTCTCCTCGACATATTATACCTTCAATATAAAATATGATAACAAATAATTTTCATATTTAAATCACTAAATTGGATTGAATGACATTTTTTACTTTTAAACCTATTAACATCATTAGAAAGTGAAAACATTTCATGGGAGTAAATTACAGTGGGTACTCATTCGATGGAATATACAAAGTTTCCAAACTATAAATATACTAAGTTTCACATTCTCAAAACTAAAGTATGTTAAAAACTACCATTTAATTCAGCCAAAAAGATTTAAAACTAGGAGGTTCCTTTTTACCATTACCTTATATGTCTACCTCTTAACAGAACATAATGGCATCCTACTTTAACAAAATGTTTCTTCATATTTCAAAGTGAAGTTATGTTAGAAACAATAAACATCACTTAAGGTAATGCTAAATGTGACTGTTCAAAACTATATTACTGCTTATTATCAAAAACCAATGGAGATATGCAACTTCTGATAAGCAGTATTTCATCCAACTTCATTTGCTGTTTATAAAAGGAAAACAAAGTTATTTGTGATAAGCAACTTCTAACAGAACATCCAATTTTTATGTTTGAAACTGAGATTCTTATATATCATAAAAATTTACAATTACTAGCATCCTATTAGTAACGTAGAGAGATAGATACTTTGACATTGGGACACTACAGGTTGCTTCGATAGATCTGTAAATAGCATTGCGTCTAAGTCATAAGTTGGTAAGGAGGACCTAACATCAGCACCAAATCAGGTGACAGAGCCCACAAACTGGATGTTTCGTCAACCCCAATACAATCTGCTTTCCCACATAGAACACTGGGTGGACAAGTAAAACGGAGGCCTATAGCTTCAATGAATCCTTTTAAATTGCATCTAGTTCACACACAAGTCGAGGGTTGCATTACTACACCACAGTTTTTGTCCTGAATTGAAGACACGAAGGCCAAGGATTCATATTTACCCTGAAGACCTCAACCAACACGAAGATGGCAGGAATAGGTTGCTAAAGAATTCATCACAGTTCCCATTTTCTGATGTTTACACATGCTACCAGTGAAATTTTATGATGATTTTCCCATAAAATTAGTAATACTAAAATAGGTGAACAATACTGGAAAAATTAAGTTCATCTTCTTAGAAATAATAACTTGAATAATGACTATCTTTTAATAAGAATTCATGCCACATGCTGGATGAAATAGTTAAAACAACCTGAAAATAAATCCAATCAAGCACCGAACAGAAAAGGAGAAGAGTATATATAGATTTTAATAAAAGTTCGTAAAATTAGAAAAAAATGCTTATATTTTTTTTCAAGATTAAACTAATTCATTGTTCTTGCAAACAAGTAGCAACAACTTCAATTTCACAAGAAGTATCAACCCATATGTCTACATAAGCCCTACAGTCAGTGAAAATGTTCCACAAGCATTACATACCTGCTCAGCTGGCCAATTATAAACCATAGACATCATTTTTCCACGATCTTAGATATCATAAAAATTTAGTTGGATGAAATACCTTTAAGCCTATTGTGATATGCAACAACCAGCAATAACAAATCTAGAAAACACTACTTCTAACAGAACATCCAAACACAATTTACTCAAAACACATATCAATTTTCATAATGCACACACCAATATTGATAATTTAATCCAAAAATAGCATTCAGTATACACTAGGATTGTGAATAAAATTAATATAATTAAATTTACCTTCACACTGTAATTTTCAGAAGTAACGATTCTGTTCAATTTACTTGAAGTAGATTGCACATTTAATAAATTTGGGGATTTTCGGAATCACACAAACCAAGGATATGGGCAATGAGGATGGAAATTTTAAGTTACAAATTTGGGATTTCTGAGCTGGGAAATCACACAGACCAGGATATGGGCAATGAGGATGAAAATTTTGAGTTACAAATTGGGGATTTCTGAATGTGGGAATCAAACAGACCAGTTGGGGATTTCTGAACTTGAGAATCACACAAACCAAGCGTACCTGGTTATATACAAAGCTTTCTGTTCAACACGTGAACTTGTCTGCTCCTAGCTTCAGACCTAGCCCACGGGTTTGTACCACTCCACTGTGCCATTTGACAAAACATTGAGTAAGTTATGCCTGATTAAGAATCTCATACCTCAAATTAGGTCTCAGAAGGTACCTAAGGCGAATCTCACAACCGAATATGCAAAAGACTTTAGTTGGCTTCTTTGAATAAGTTAGGGCTACCCTCAGTTAGGGGTGAGCTTAGGGGATAGCCAAAGCAAAGAAAAAAAATATGAGAGAAGAAGAATCATCACACACAGAAGAGAGAGGAGGTGCCTTCCACAGAGAGAAGATAGAAGAAGAGAGGAGAAAGCTCTCGTTCAGAAATAACAGAGAGAGGGCACCTGGGGGGAGTTCTATATTCGAATGAAAGTGGCTTTCATACATCCGATTCATTTGGTAAAGTGGATTTGTAGATTACGCTTTATATTTAAAAACATAATTTTAAAAATTCGATTATTCAACTAAAAGCGGGTTTCAAATATACGCTTTTAATTTTATGAGGATTCGTTTAAATGATGAATTCGTAATTTTAAGTCCGCTTTAAAAAGTGCCGTAAAATGATAAATGTTGTATTCTGGTAAATATGTTTAAATTTGCCTTATATTGATAATAGATTCTCGATTCGTGACCCTGTCCACTTTTTCGGCAGCGTTTGTTTGATTCTCAATTCCAAATATCTGACTGAACCTTAAAACTTTGAGAGTGAGTAGTTTAGTAGTAGTTGATCTGCCATTGTTGTTTTGCAAGCCTAGAACACATCGCAGAAGAAGTGAAATACAAGAAAACCGGCTATTCCTTTCCTTTTCAGTTTTCACTTTCCCTTTTCCTTTTTATGAAACAAATAATAAAAACAAAGTGGGCCTCCTATTTCTATAACAAATACTAATTAAAGCCTGACAACTGATAAATCCGGTCCCCAGTTTTTGCACTGGCTCGACTACCCGGTACGACAATAGGTTTGCATCACTCTTGCAATTGACCTATCTACTCTACCTCATCCTCGTAGATGTTTAGTTTCAATTCAATGTTAAAAAATATATTTGAGGACTCTATATTTATTCTTTAATTAAAAAAATTTATCACGTGTACAATTTTATAATATTATAAATTTTATTATTTTACTTTGTTAATTAATAACTACACGACATCAAATTCAAAATTAATAATTAAAATTAATGGAGGTGCAATATCGAAATTAATACTATAACATTTAGATGATTGGACTAAACAATGTTGACCATGCCTTTACTTGATAAATTTTACTTACCAATATGCCTCGATATTTCTTTTTTACTTAAACCTTTTGATCAAAACACACACTCGTTTTTTTGATAAACAAACTTTGGTAAAAACTTGGACTACAAGTCATTATGCTTTGCGTCATGTGTTTTTTTTTTGGTTTTTTTGCACTTTGTACTCCTAAAGATTTTAAAATTCTTACTTTACACTCTAAAAAATTAAAATTTTCATATTATATCATCAATGTATCAAAAATATTCAATGTGACATTTCTGTTAGTTTTTGTTATTTTTTTTGTCAAAAATTAATACATGGACACTGATAGAAAACTAAAAAAAAGTAAACAGAAGGATCACATTATAACACTTTTGATATATTTAGGGTATAATATAAAAATTTTAATCTTTAAAGATGATGGACCATATTTTGTATCAATGGGGAGAGCCCCACATTCCGTGGGTGTATCAGAATAAGGCTTAAAATTTATCTTCTCAAGATAACACAAAATTGGCAGTCTTGTTGATTGACCAATTGGAGTAAAACACAATTTTTAATATCTACAAAGATGAATATGTCAAGAATGTATCAATCCAATGAGTATGACCTCTCAACAGTAAGTAACTCTTCATTTTCTTTGTAGGAGATGGGTGAAGACTTAAAGGTAGGAAAGCCTCAAGTATGGACATTTCGGCTCTATACTTCGCACACACTTTTTATCATTTTTTCTAATTTTATACACTAGTATATTCATGTATTAATTGCAATACTGACTTAGGCATCGGAGGGGTCTCCCCTAGCACAAACATCGAGGTCCCTCTAAACTCTCTTCAATTTTGCAACTCACAAACCGAATGATATTTAAAGACCAGAGATGCACCTTTAACATTTTAGTGATTGTACGAATTTTTGCCCGCACAAAAGTTATAAAGCGAGAATCTTGGCCTTTTGTTTTTTGAGAAATTAATTGTTCAAGTTTGAAATTTTATTAAGTAGTGTTATTGAAGTTTAATTTATTGACTTAATTTATTGTGATTTTTGAATTGATTGTAAACTCTATCAAATATTGAAATTTGGTATTAATCCAATAATTCTTGTAAAATCACGTTAATATGTCAATAAATTAAATCAAATTTTTCAATTCAAATAACATTATTCAATTTAATTTTGAAATTATGGGTTTGTAGAGTTTATTTTGTGATTGCTCAATAAAATATTATAAGAGCGAATAAACGTCAATTCAAAAAGTGCACCGCGACGCAGAAGATTAATTCCCTTTCAACGGTATTCTCGCGTCTGTCTCCAACTCCTGCATAAAGGCGCCACCCCACAAGCAAACATACACAATCAGAGAGTGTGTGGAGAGAGAGAGAGAGAGATAGAGAGAAAAGAGAAGAGGCTGGATCATTGGCCTGTGATCTAAAGCCGAAAGATTCTGTTTGGCGTTGAAAAAGAAATCGATGTCGGTTCTATAATCTCTCTGAAAGAATCAATCAATCTTTCTTTCTTTATATCTCATTGTGATATTATTTTTATTGTGATGTTTGTATACCTCTCGATCCCTGGATTTATCTATTTGGTTTCGATTCCTTCATTTTTTGGGGGGGTTAAAATCACCGGAAACGAAATTCCTTTTTCTTTGAAATGAATCCAATTGTTATTGTTTTCGAGAATTTATCACAAGAGACGAGACGGTACGTTTGGTTAATGGGAATTTAGCAAAGCATACACGAAACAAAATAAATTGAAATCTTCCTTATTCTTGTGTTTTTCTTGGGAAAATTTTATGTTTTAGATCACGATAAACGGGTAGTTTATGGCAAGAGACGAGTCTTGACAGGAGACGGTACGTTTGGTTAATGGGCAAATATAGGAAAACGGACAACGAAACAAAATAAAGTGAAATTTGTTTGACTTTGGTTCCTTCCTTCTTTTTATGTTTTCTTTGGAAAATTTTGTGGTTAAAATCACGGGAAACGAGTTTCCTTTCTCTTTCTCTTTGGAATTGTTTCCGTTTGCTATTGTCTTCGATAATTTATCGCAAGAGACCAATCTTGACCGGAGACAGTTGGCCTGGTTAATCGGAAAATATAGGAAAATAGACTACGAAACAAAATAAAACAACGAAATTAGCAGTCATATCAGAAATGTGGTTTCGATTGCTTTAATTCTGTAGTAATTGACATTTGTTTTGCAGTGTTCTTTTTCTGCTTCGTTTCTTGATATGGATTCTTATTCTGGAACTTCTGAATCCGGATTTCTGCAATCGATGGTCGGTACTGCAGGACTTGCCAAAAGAATATCAACTGAAAAATCTGGGTAATGCTCTGTTGAATGACATCATAGTGTTTTAAAATGAGTTGGAATTCTGGAATGTAATTTCATTACGCAAACCCCGGCATGCCTTACAGATCCACTGGAAACTTTATGGATTTCTTCGAAGGTCTTACATATGAGCATGTGAATTTCATCTTCGCAGATCCTTTGTATGCTCAGGTGCATTATCTATTTTGATGTTCCTCTGTTCTGTTCTGTTCAAATATTTTGAAGTATATTACTCTATTATTTTATGCCTTTTGCAAGCAGCAAGTGCTTTGATTATACCTTTTAATTTCTATATACGATACAATGTATAATAAAAAAAAATTCTTCTCCATCTTACTTTGGTCCATGTATATCCATGTGCGTGTTTTGCGTAGAAAGTAGATTTCATGGCTTTGCAATTATTGATTGCGCATAAAGTATTTTATTGCATCTTACAAATGCAGGAGAGTGCATACCCTTCAATGAATACCAGTTTGTACAAATTCGGGTTATCTGAACCTGGGAGTTTCTCGTACTATGATTATGGTCATGCTTATGTGGTAAATGATCATGCACGGGGAGTTGATGAATATAGTAGGGAGAGCACTCCAATACTGGTTGATCAGCAGACTGCAGCTTTACATGCACAATGTGAGGGAAATTCTAGTGCGACTTCACATGCGAATCCTGTGGAATGTAAGTTCTGAATATTATTTTTGTGATGAATTCCGAATGGATGGCTAAAGAATCACTTTAAAATACAATCTTCGTGATATGAAGTCTTTGGCATCCCTTGCATATTTTTCTAACCGTAAAGGATACTGCTCAATTTTTAAATTCAAATTTATCTGATAACACATCAGATTGATAGGATAAGGATCAATCCCCTTTTGTTTATCACATTGTTACAATTACTATATAAATGTAACTCTACCAATGTTATATGATTGAAGATTACATTCTGAAGTTTCAGTCCCTCTATGGTATGAGATCCTTAGGTCTAGACCTCTGAAATTTTCTTCCACACAGCCTGAGTCTTTTCACTGCCACTTCTGAACAAACATCTTCCCAGCTCAACACTCCGTTTCCCTCCCCATCACCACATACCAATACCCTCACAACCAAATTTCCTTCACTACACATTCCCATGCTAGATTTCTTCAACTTCGTATGGAGCTTCAAGCTCTCAAGAAGGACACCGACTTAGTACATAAGTATTTTCAGCGTCCAAGAACACTTACTCAACAGCTTGTAGCAAATGTAAGCCTAATTTCTGATGAACCTCGTCCACCTTGCGAATCTTAATATTTTCTTCGATGGACCGGGCATTGTGAAAACTGGCAATTTTTTGGGTTTGCCCTATTGCTCATATTGGGTCATTCTTTGTTCCAACCTCAGTTTTACATGTTCCTTTGGTTCAGCAAAACTTACTTTGTGTTCATAGATATTGCTATCGATAACAACTTTTGGTTCGAATTTCATCCATGGTATTTTTGCATGACGAACCTATGGATAGAGAATTTCTTCTTCAAGGACAGAGCATTAATGGTTATATGAACTTCACTCAATAAAGATTCCTACTTCAACAATAAAGCTGTCCTACTCCATGCATCTTCCGTTTGGTGGCACAAGAGGCTTGGTCATCCAGCCTATTGCACTGTTTATCTTGTGCCACAGAAATTTGGTCTTCCAACAAATAAAATTCAGAATATTTGTGCTGCATGTCAAAGGTTCATTTGGGGAAGTAATTTCATACCAAAGATTTAGATATTCTTCGATACTTTCTTGGGGTCGAGGTTGCTCGATCGAAAGAAGGTACCAGTTTATATCAACAAAAGTATGTATTGGATTTATTATCCAAGACTGGGACACTTGGTGAATGTCTAGTTGATGCTCCTATGGACTCTTCAGTTAAGTTAGATGCTAAGAGTGGTGGAGTTTTTGATGATATAGGGTGCTATAAGAGGTTGGTTGGTATTTTTATTTATTTTACTGTTACACGCCCTGACATTACCTATGATGTTGGTGTGGTTAATCAGTTTATGCACACTCCTTGTAAGCCTCATTGAGAGGTTATCTGTCGTATTCTTTGGTATCTAAAAGAAGCACGGCAAAAAGACTATTATATCATCCTTCATCATCTATGATTGTTACTTAGGAAGCACGAATATTTCTCATGGGGTGCTGTGGCAGTACCAGGCACATGTCCTACACGGATACGACCAAGACACGCCCGGACACGTGTCCGACACGGTTAGAAGTGTCCTGAATAATAAACTCAATCGGACACAGCCAGGACATGACTATAATATCTCTAGGACACGTCTAGGATACGGCCAGTACACGGCCAAGAATTTTTTTATTAAAAAATCAACTTTTGTTAGTCAAAAAACAAACTCTCTCCCTATTACCCACTAAAAATCTAACCCATTGAGAAAAGGATACAACCCTTGAGAAATGAATCTTCATGGATTTCGGCCAATATCCAGTTCTGCACTCGAACGGGTAATCACATTCTGTTTCTTACTAAGCCAAGTAACAAGATTACCGCCAATAAATGTACAGTAACATAAGATAGATCGTCTATCGATACGACTACCTAACCAAGTAACATTAGAAAAGTCAGTAACAATCTAGGAAGCACGAATATAGACACGGGTGTCGTATCCGATATGATACAGACATGGGGATACGATAAAGTTAAAAAATATGGTATATAGGTACGGTAAGAATACGACAATTAAAATAATATAATATATTTTTTAAATAATAATAGAGTTGTAATATATTAAAAATAAAGTATATATTATAATAATATTAATAATAAGACCTAGCAAATATTATTTTTTTAATTAAAATTAAAATTGATCAAATTAAATATTAACATTCATATATATATGTTACGTAACAAAAAATATATTAAAAAAAGTAAATTTTTTAGAGAACTTTTGAATTGGAGAATCATTCTTTGCATGTTTATTCCTCGTTTCTATAGTCTTTCTCGCTTCCATAATCTCTCGTTTTGTTTAAATGATTAGGTCTTATTTTCATCTAGTGTCTCTCGATTTTGGTTTTCGTAGAAGTCTTAATGACAGAAAATTGTGGAATTGGTCACACTGCTCTCTTTGCTCGGTGATATGACTTTACACAATGATTTTTTGGATAAACAGACTTGTTCTCTTGCAAATCCTTTTTTCCTTGATTGGTAATTCTTTCGAACCACTTTTTTTTTTCCATCTTTGAATATTTGGAAGGCTAAGTGCAAGTTTATTGTGTGTTAGGTTGCTCATGGCAAGAGTATCAGCAATAAGGGTACTCCAAAAGAGAAAACCTAATACATACCTTCACCCACAAAGGTGTGTTATTGTAGGAATGGTTGCGAGAACTAGATTATTCATTTTTGCATTGCTCGACTACTTGGTATTCATTAGAATAAGTTGTTTGAGATGGCTGGGCATTCTTGGGTGGCTCCAAGCTCCATACTATTTTTGTTTTGTTTGGACTTTGGTGGCTTTGGAAGGAAGAATAGCAGAGTTATTATTAGGGATTGTGCAATGTTTGCTATTATTCGGGAGATTTAGTTGGAAAAATAAACGAGAATTTTTTACAATAAGTGTGAGGTGCTTGAAGGATTATGTTATTGTATCTTTTTCATAGCATTTTTTTGGGCATCAGTATCGAAGGACATCGCAAAACGTGCCTCTTTTTAGAATTATGGAGAGTTGAACAGTTGTTTGTGAATGTTAAATAGCTGTAATGTTTATTTATCTGTTGCCTTTTTTTTTTTTTTTCCAATACGGTTAGATGACTTCTCTACCTTAGCTTTTATATTGTACTACATCCACTTTTTTTATTTTATAATTAAAATCTTTGTTTCTTCTCAAAAAAGAAAACAAAGAATTAAGGTTAGTCGGTCATAGCTATTAGCGACTTTCTATTCCTTTTGTACTGTTGGTTTGAGGCATAAAATACCCTGCCTGAACCTTTATTGGTACTTTTAGTTCATTAGTATTAAGCTGTTCTACATGAAAGATAGTATTCTTGCCCCCACAAACAATAATTGACCTCTTGAAGTATTTTTAGCCTTTTAAGAGGACTAGTTGATGTATACGTGCGTTGCATGCACGCGAGTAACTTTGATGGGTCAACATCATGTGAACCTACATTACACTTGATCCTCATTTTTTTCTTGATCGATTTCCAATTCATTTAAATATTCTTCAACTAATTTCCCAAAACCATTAAGAAAACTCACTCAATGCTTTTATGGTCAGTGCTTCCTAGATTTGTTTAGCTTTCAAAACAGATCTAAGATTTGATAGCTAATTTCTGGTGTTTGTCAAATACAATTGGTTCACAGAAATCACAGAAATCAAGCATACAAATTACCCTAGAATAATCCTAATTTCCAAAAAAAAATTGCGTCAGCATCATTATTCAAGCACAATGGTGTTCTTATTTTGATTGAAAATTAAAAGCAAAGCGTGCTATTGCATTGATGGAGCCAATAGTGGACGTCGGGGGCATGGGCCCAAACTTGAAAAAATTGTTACCTATATATATTTCACATAATTTTTGTATATTTTATGGTGTCCACCCTATCATTTTCTTGTTCTATCAAGTAATATAAACCAATATATAATAATCATTATGAACTTTCCAACACATATTGAACACTTTAAAGGCACATCTAGATAAGTGTTTTTGCATGCCGAATTCATTTTTTTTAAAGTTATTAAATTGTGAGAACTAAGTTGAATAACTAAAAGAGTGATTTGATTGTTTATACAGAGAGAAAGATTCTCCATAGTGTTAATAATGAAGTTCTTATTCAACGCTTTTAATATATGAAAACTCGTTGAGATTAATTATAGATAATTGTAATTAGCCTTTTTTTTTTTTTGCTTTTCTTTGTATACACTATATATATCAACGCTGGACTGTTTTGTATCTATTAAATCTTTAAGTATCAAATATATAGTTTTAATTTGTTGTTAATTTCTAGTTAAAGGGCCCACCCAGAATAAAATTTCTAGCTCCTTTCCTGACTATTGGATTGTCCTAAATTAACTCATCTTGAATCAATTTGTTGTCTTCAGTAAGTTCATGTTCCATTTTGAACTTAGTATTAGACATTGATAGAAGGAGCCACACTTATTCATTCCCACAAAACGTAGAATTTATTCATCCCTCCCCCACCCCCCCAAAAAAAAACACACAGACACACACGCAGCATTATGGGTCTATACTCTTTCATACTAAAAACAGTTTCAATGGAATTGTTCTTTTATCATATTAAAAAAAAAGGCGGTTGACTGATCGGTCAGCCCCATTTATAGGCTAGTCAACCAGCTCTAAAAGATAACCCAGAGTTCTATTTTTATTTCATCTCAAACTCACTCAAAAAACACAAAAACTTGTACTAATTATCAAACAAATAATCTTAATCTATCACCGTAATTTGAACACTTAAGTTTACCTCATATAGAATGCTTGAAAGCTTGTATAATTCCTATTAATTGATAACTGCCAATCTATTGATTCTAACAGCCTGTGCACATGCTTTTATACACTAGCTATAAAACTTTTTGATTTAACATTGTTTGTTACAAGTGATTGAAGCCTACTTCAGTTCCAAGCTTTTATACTCTTTGAAAGTTTCACTTCCAAATTTACCTTGTAAAGATGCAATCAAAAGAAAAACTTA